CTGGGTCAGACCAAAGGTCCATCTAGTCCAGTAGCCTGTCTGCCGACAGCGGCCAACCCTAGGGACCCTGGAAGGGATGGACTGAAGACAGTGACCAAGCCATTTGTCTCGTGCCATCCCTCTCCAGCCTTCCATAAACCTTGGGCAGGGACACCACTCCTACCCCCTGGCTAATAGCACTCCATGGACCCAACCTCCATGACTTTATCTCACTTCTCTTTAAACTCTGTTCTAGTTCTAGCCTTCACAGCCTCCTGCAGCAAGGAGTTCCACAGGTTGACTCTTTGCTTTGTGAAGAAGAACTTTCTGTTACTAGTTTGAAGCCTGCTACCCATTCCTTTCCTTTGGTGTCCTCTAGTCCCTTTTTATGGGATCTAATGAAGAACTTTTCTGTATGCACCCTCTCCACCCAACTCCTGCTTTTAGAGATCTCTATCCTGTCCCCCCTCCGTCTCCTCTTTTCTAAGCTGAAAAGTCCCAGTCTCTTTAGCCTCTCTTCATATGGGACCTGTTCCCAACCCCTGATCATTTTAGTTGCCCTCCCCTCTCCCAGCCTCTCTCTTCCCCTCTCCCACCTCCTTTTCCCAGTCTCCCCCAGTTTTGTTCAATAAAGACAGATTCCATTTTTGAACACAATTGTCCTTTATTCTGTACATCTAGAAGAGGGGCTAGGGAAGGGTAAGTGGAAGGAGGTTAGGGAGGAATGGGGTACGAGCCCCCGATGGGGAGGACTGGGCTGGCTCTGCGGGCTTCTGGGGCTGGAAGCTCTCCTGCAGCCCCCCAATTGCCCCCTCTCCCCAGATGGCAGCCTGCGGCAAGTGCAGCCAGTCTGATGGCCGAGTGCTGTGATGTGCCCAGTGTGGGCACTCAGGGCACTCCAAGCCAGGACTGCTTTGCAAGCGGGGCACCCCTGAGAACTGTCTGTCCGGGGTCGGAGTCAGGTCCCTTTAAGCACAGCCCTCGGCTAGCCTGTGGCAGCAGCTCCATGCTCTAAGTCCTCATCTGATGCCCTGCCGGCACTGCTTCCGGCCATCCTTAACCCCGGTTCAGGGTCCACTCTGTGTGGACATGCTAGTTCGATTTAACAAAACGCTAATTCGAACTAGTTTTTTAGTCTGGATCCATTAGTTCGACTTAGCTTAGTTCGAATTAACTAATTAGAACTAAGTTAGTTCGAATTAACGTTGTAGTGTAGACGTACCCTATAATATTAATTTTGTCTTAGTTGGTCAAACTCATTGATGATGTCTGGGGGTGATTTTGGTTCTGTGTCTTTATTTTATTTGATTGAAGCAGATTGAATGCCAGCGCTCTCTGTTTCTAAGGCGTAATTCCTGGGCAAATCCCGGTATTTTCAGGCTATCTGAATAGTGTTTTTAAGGCATTCCCTGAACTATATTCAAGAGTGAATTAAATGACACAATGAAGCTCGTCGCACTTATAATACTGAAATAAACAAGAGGTAACAATAATGCAGTTTTATTGATCTAAAGAGTTAACAACTTCTTTTATGCTCAGGCAGTGACTAAATTGTCCAGCAGGTGGCTGGCATTCTCCAGCAGTAGCCTGCAGCTTCCATACGATTACCATAATCATTTAAGCAAGCTTGCTATCTCCTGCAAAGTAAGGAGAGTGTTGACGTCCAGAGGTTCCTGCCTATAGGATCAGAGTCTTTAAAAGAGCTGTTCCTTTCCCTCACTTTTAAATGCAGCCTACAGCTGCAGATGCTGAGAACAGGAAGAGACTGGGGAATGCAGTTTGACAGCCACAATCAAAAGTTCTTGCAAATCGTAATTCATGTAATTCAGACTGAACTCTGCTCAGGAGCAGTGTGCTGAGACTGAGAATTTAACTAGCTTGGATTCTGAAAATACTTTGTGTCTATTTGCCACTTAATTTGGCAAATGGCCTTTTAGAACAGAGTAATATTTATTTGCAAGCCAAATGAATGAGAGAGAGAAAAGTTCCAGGATCAAACTTTTATGGAACAGATTAAGGAAATAGTTCTGTTCAGGGACTTTCTTTTAAAGATCTATCATACGCTGATATATGACTTTCAGTCTCTTCTGTCTATTTAAAACTAGCAGTCAGCAACAAAACTCAACTCAAGAAGCGTTATGTGAGGATTTTTGAACAAGAAAATTATCTTCCAGTAGAAACGAATTGAGACAATGGCTTCTGAAGAGTGCTTTCTTCTAGACTTGGAAGTGGATAACTTTATTCTTTGCAACATTTCTATCAATCAAAGTGCAAATCTTTCCATCCTGAGTGATGATTGGTTCTACACAGGTTTCCTGTATGCCATTCCAACTATTTATGGGATCATCATTTTGATAGGACTTATTGGCAATATCACTTTGATTAAGATCTTTTGTACTGTGAAGTCCATGAGAAATGTTCCTAATTTGTTCATCTCCAGTCTGGCTTTAGGAGATCTACTTCTTTTAGTGACCTGTGTCCCTGTGGATGCCAGCAGGTACCTAGCTGACGAATGGCTTTTTGGCCGGGTTGGATGTAAACTTATCCCCTTTATACAACTCACTTCAGTGGGGGTATCAGTCTTCACACTTACAGCTCTCTCAGCCGACAGGTGAGCTTCCTATTGAAAGCCTGAAATGTGATCTAGACTTTTATGGACCCACAGGCTATACAAGGTACAACTGCAGATAGGTAAAATATATATTGTTGCCGACCTAACATAGTAGATTAATGCAATATCAGTTTATTTCTAGTGTTTGTGCCTCTGAACACAAATGTCAGCGGGGAAGTTTTCTGAGGCTAAATGAATCTTTGTACAGATTAGTTAACATGGCCAGTTTAATTTAATGGGGGGAAAAGTTAAAGCCTGGCGAGGAAAGTATCCATTAGTGAAGGATAATTTGTCCAAAGATGGAATTCTTTCTTAAGTTTTCTAGATAATATGATTGAGTATCCAGGTCTTCTCAGGTTCATATTTCAAGAATTGTGAAGAGACTGAAGTAGCAATTTACTACAGGTGAAATCATTTCTCTCTGACCGTTCAGATTTCAAATTGCTGATTTTATCTGAAGCAACAGCTTCTCACGTATTTCAAAATATTCAGAATTAGATGCCTGATATTAAGGACCTATATCCATATCAGACATGTAAGATTTTGCCCTTAATAAGTTTGCCCCGGTTCTCTGATTTGCCCTTCTGTAACCAAAACAGGTCTGTGCTATAATTTCTGGCAAACAAGTTTTTTTTCCCCCCAGTTATTGGGCAGTAAAAAATAAAAATGAGTTATTAGAATTAAGTATAATGTTTGACTTGTTAAATCTACTGAGAGTGTAGGTATCAATCTGTTTTCTAATCATGTAAGGCTTTCTGAATCAATTTTACAAATTGGACTCTTCAAAAGTCAACAGACATTTGAACGGTAATACTACTTCTAAGGATGCAGCTTATTTTTCAGATAGATTACCAGAATTCACTTGTAGTACAGCTCTTAAATATATGCATGCCTAGGTCAAACAGCCCAGAATGTCTTATTTGCACTCTTTGTGCTGCAGAATTGAAGTAACAGATTAATGATTAGTGATATACCTTCTTAAAACTCTGAAACCTCATAAAAATACCAGCTCTTCCAGTTAAAAAAATGGGGTCAGTTTTGTTCTGCACAGAAGGACATTGTGGATGGTATTTTCCTATACATAAGGAAATCAAATGTAAGCTGCTGTGCATAGATAGAATTAACCATGTCAGTTGGGTAGGGTTTTCCTTCAAAAATCACTTCAAATATTTTCATTTCATTGTAAACAGAGTTTAGACTTTCGCTCCTACATATGCTTTGTGGTTTGAAAACAAAAACAAAATAAAGACTGTAGATTAGTTCACACATAAAGACACCATTATCACTGCTAGTCCTAGATAAAATATACACCATAATGAAACCAATACTTTTCAGTCGATTTGCTGAAAAAGAAGCTAGAAAACTAGCAAATCTATATTAATACACAAGAACAGGATCGCATGCACCTGTGCTTTTAATTTCTGTGTGATGGGCAACTGGGTTCTTCAGCTAGAAGAATTCCTTTGAAATGTTACAGAAAAGCAGTCATGTCATGCTGTTTTTCTCTAGAAACCACTGGAATTCAGAATTTTTTCTTTGGGTTTAATATAAATTGCTTAAAACATGTTGAGAAAATAAGACCAATGAGTAGTTCTGTGGCACCTTAGAGACTAACAAACACAAACATACACACACACACACACACACACATATTCACTGAAAAGAAAAATTATACCTGATCAGCTGCTAACAAAAGCAAACAGTGCAGATGTTTTTACTGAACAGTCTGTGAACACAAGCTACTGCTGGAACAATGAAACAGAACAGAAAACTGCAGCTGTATCAAGCTGTTTTCCAGAGACCAAAACTCTTAATTTGAAGCCCACTTGAACTCAAACCCATTTGCCCATCATGGAAGTTGAAATTGCACCATACTGAAATGTCATTTTGGGAAAATGACTTAAAGAACTAAGATGCCTTTCTCTCTGGCACAGTCTGCCCACTCGCTGAGGTTTTGAACTCATGGTAGGAGGCTGTATCCATAAAACTGCTATTTACTGTAATTAGAGTGAAGAAACTTAAATTCTGTGCATCACACTGCTACTGTTCCTCTATGGAGCTTATCTGTTTCATTTACTACAATTTTTATTTTGGTTGTTGTCAGAGCTACTGGAACATAGTTCCAAAAAACATGGGTCACACTGTCCAGTTTGCAGACGCTCAGTAGTCTAACATTTATTTTCTGGAGTCTGTCAGCTTATGTTCCAGAATCCAATTTAAAACTTAAGAGTATGTCTACACTTCAGGATAAAGTCCAATTAAAATATGCAACTTCAGCTATGTTAATTGGGTAGCTGAAGTCGAAGTACCTTAACTCGACTTTTGCACTACCCACACTGCGGGAAGTCAAAGTACTCTCCCTTGTACTTCCCTTACTCCTTGTGGAAGCAGGACTACCAGCATTGACCAGAGTGCCCCTCTCAGTTTGAATTAGTATGTCTTCACTAGACCCGCTCATTTGAACCCTGCAAGATCGACAGCAGCAGCTTCAATTTTTCCTGTAGTATAGACACATCCTCAGAGAAGTATTTTAAAAAAAAAGACATGTTCTATCTCCTATGGGTGCAAAGAAAGCCACCCAAGTGTGACGCACCTGTAAGCCAATGCTGTAATCTCTGCTTGAACCAGCAGCCAGTCTGAGACAGTAGCTTTGACGTATGAGAACTTTGTCATTCATCACATTAAAATGTTGACACCGAAACCCAATGGTTACAATTTGATGGCTAGCTATTTCAGTGTTGACTAATATATGTAAGGAAGAACAAGAAAGGTCATAGTTCTGAGGAACTGCTCAATCTACTTTGAGTAGCATCCAAACCACACTAAAAGCTAAATTAGTCCACAGAACTCAGCAGGGCATCTGAGCCCCACCAAGGAGGAGCATAGCCCCAAAATCTCAACAGGGCATACTAGCCTCACCGGGGGGACCAAATCTGAGAGGCCGAGCCAGGCATCTGCTGGTTACAAAGGGAAGCTCAGGAGAATCTGAACCCACTACTCCGCTATACCAAACTTGTGCAGCCCTAGAGAGTGTAAACATCTGCACAGTCTGAGCTGCAGGGAAGCCTGTTGCTGTGTATCCAGTGGAAGGCACTTGTCACAGGATTGCAAACTTCCCAATTCATCTTCTATATAAAAGTAGACTCAGGTGACAGGTCTGGTGTGCCATTAGTAAAGATGCACAGTGTGCTGACAGTTAGAAAAAACACTACTATTGTAGTTTATTGAAGTGGTGCCTAGGGGCCCCAATTAGGTATCAGAGATCCATTTTACGAGACACTGTCAGAACATAATCATATCTTGCAGTCTAATCACAAGGGGAGAAACAACAGACAGAATCAAGAAACAGACTGGGAGTGAGAAAGGAGTGAGATTAGTCCAATAGGATAATAAGCAGTAGTCATGGCACCCTATTTTTGTAAGCATCAGACATGAGTTTTAAGGAGATTGGAGAGAGGATGGTGATGTGACTGAAGGTTTTTCTGAGGAGCTGCTCTGTTGCTATTCTGTTCTGGGATTTACATTGAGATATGGAAAATAGGGATAAGGAATAAATAGGAAAACCCAGATGTTCAACCATAAGAACACTTTAACCATAGAGCCACCACACCATTTTAAGTTGCTTCAAGTGGACAAACCAAAGAGCTACAAAACACATAATCAGACTGAGTACCACTGAGAACGTCATGTATTTATTTACTGATTTTCTTTTCATTGCCAAATGCGCTAATTTATCAACCAGGAAAAGTTTAACAAAAGTACAATGTAAAAATGGCCAGGAAGGCCTTGAGAAATGCAGTTTTATAGATTTGCCAGAGCTCAGTAAGGCAATATATAAAATGTTCAGAATATAGAATATTCAAACCCATTCTCTTGAATGCCTGCATCAATAACTATGATAAAGTACAGCTGCCACCCAGAATCCTCCCACCCCCCATTTATTTTTACCTTTAGACCCTTTCTTTGCTCTCACGTATGCCACTATTTCTTAACAGCTTCACACAAGTTCCAACTGGAAAAGTTCAAGATAGAATAGTTGAATGAGTTGATTCAAGTCAAGAGGAAGAAAGCCTTCCAATTAGCAGAATCCATGACCAGCATACTGCAGCACATGGCAATAACCTTGGCAGTTCTATACACACACACACACACACACACACACACACACACACACACGCTTTTTTTGCAACGTGCAATGTGAAATGGCTATTTAATGACAATAAGAATGATGGAAGCTGCATCAATGAAATGGTGACTTTTCCAAGCTTCTTTGATTAATAAAAAAATAAATTTTGTATTTCATGTGTAAATGTTCTCACTGCTCTGGTTTTGTGAAGTTAATTTTAACATCAGTTATTCTGTGGTCCCATTATCACATGTAACTGTTCTCACGTCTATCTACAGTGTTAAAAAATTCATTCCACCCATCTCCAGTAAGATCGGTAATCTTTAAGAAATTCAAAAAAATGGCACTCACTATGGGCTGTTAATGAAGCAAGCTTAATCCTTAATGGTCATTTTAACTGATTTGGAGACATTTGTATTTCCTTTTGGATTAATGGCTTATAAAACCATTAGTTTTATGTTTTCATTAGGCGCGTTCTTCCCTGTGATCTTGTCCTAAGGAAGCATGAATTCACTGGCATACCGATACAAAATTTGTGATCTTTAAGCAGTTTGTTTGTTTGTTGAGATTAACAGAACTTTTCTGTTGAGCGAACAGTTGTGAGGCATGGGCACAAAGAGAAGCAGTTCAGTAGTGTGAGAAGCAGAATGTTCTAGAGGAATAAGCACAGGACTAGGAGCAAGGAATTCTTGCTTTCTAATTGTCAGTCTGATGCAGACTTTCTCTGTGTACATAAATGCATCACTTAATCTTTCTGTTGTAGTTTTCCCATCTGTACACTGGGGATATGACCATCATCCTATCACACAGAGTGTTTGCAAATTAGGGTATGAATACTAAACTTCACTAACACACACACAAATCCCTCCAAATG